GCTCTTCCTTTTTTCTTACACCTTACCTACTAAAGGAGGAGTTCTTGATGGGTAAGTGGATGCTATCCGCAAGACACCAGGGAATTTATTAGAGGTCACTCGAGCGCATTAGCTATATCTTCTTCAGGGGGAAAAAAGCACACAAAGAAGTATCTGTATACCTTTTATTTCCAGAGGGATTTTTTCTTTTTTTTTTTTCCCCTCCCCCTTCTTTTTCTTTTTTTTTTTAGTTTCAAAGTGATAAGCTTGTTTATTTGCCAGTTTTTATTTGTACAGAAGCCCTTGATTTGATTTGATTTGATTTTTCTTTGCTTATTTTAGTGACATTCATTCAGCCTCTTTACTAAGGAAGCTTAAAAAATTCACTCATTTAAGATTTTGTTTCCTTTTTGTTTTCTTTCCAAGGATTATGTTGGTTTTTTATATATATATACCCATTTCTTTTTTTTTTTTCCCCTCCCCCTCTTTAAGGTTAAATAAGGGCTTTGTCCTCTGTTATATCGTTTTTATTTAGTTAGTTATTTTGATTCTTTGGTTGCCCTTTACTTTGTTGAACTCTTTTCTTTAACATGAATCGCATGCTGATACTCTTTGCATGATCTCTAAATCTTCCCGTTATCATAGCAGGGGGAAAAGAAGTTTCTTCTTACTGTGGATTTCTTTCAGGGATATGTGCTTTTGTTTTCTTCTCCTCTTTCTTCTTTTTCTTTCTTTCTTTCTTACTTTATTTCTTTCCTTTTGTTTCAGTGCATCATGATGGTAAAATTTCTGGGTTTATTTAAAAAAAAAAAAAAAATCAAAGTAAAACCAAAACCAACTCCCCCCGAAACCGTTCAAACAATGCCAAATGGCTTTTTTGCTTTCAGATCTCTCAGTCAGGGTCTTCTGCTGACCTCTTTACCAAAACAGACAGCCCGCCTGGCAACCTAGCCAGCCAGAACGGAGAGTATCATGAATATGACTCAGGAAACGATACTTCCTCCCCTCCCTCCACTCAAACGAGCTCCTCCCGCTCAAAGGACAGCCAGGAGAAAAGAAGTCTAGTCCATGATGGCTTTGGCCATGCCTTCTCGTCCGGGAAGCCCAAACTGGCCAACAGCGATAACAGCTCTGATTCAGGAAATTCCTTCACCAGTTGCTTTTCCCAGACCAAGGGAACAGCTTTGGAAAATCTGTCTCCAGATGCCCAGGGACAAGACCGAAGGTCAGTGATTACCAGTAGCTGCTGCCGGCAGCCAAATACCTGGTACGTTGTTGCTCTGTATCTCCTGCCCGCTCGCCAGTTGCAGTGGTGAGCTGGCAGGGAGGTTTTTGTGGTCTGGAGGCAGTTAGATATAAATCAGACCCACGGTCTTGCCAGTCTGGAGTCCAGAACCCAGCAATGACCAATACTGTAGCCTGAGAAGGAAGATGAAAACCCAGCCATCACGCCCCTGGGCATGGCCTGTGCCTGCTCTTCTGGCATTAATGCGGCTAATGCAGGGTTTGGCCCTGGGTCGAGCTGTGTCCCGAACACATCCCTGCTCAGCTGGACGTGACCATGTCAAAGAAAAGAGTCGCTGGCCCTTCTGGGCCAACTCTGAAAGGTGCATCAGAGGGCTGCCGTGCTAATTCTCCCCCTCTGCTTAATGTGGGGAAGGGAAGCGGGGTTCATTTTCACTAAAACCATTACGGGCTGTTCTTTCACCTGTCCAATGAGCCAAATCCAGCCTGCCCCTTCCCAGCTCATTCAGGACTGGTCCTGGGTGACAAGATAGCATCTCCTGCAGATGGGGAGCACAGGGAGGGCCAAGTACCTCGCTGGATAACGCAGCCTCAGCGCTGGGGCCACGGGGTGTCGGGGCCGGGAGTCAAACCACCATCCGGGGCCACGGGTCATCATCAGGAGAGGGGAGCAGATGCCAGCCGCCATCACCACCTCCCATTCCCGGGGGTTGGCCAGGTGATGTTGGGGATGAAGGCACTGAACGCCGTGGCTGGTACCCAAGGCTATATGCTCAGGCAGCACTGTTTGTTAGGGAGCTGTTCCAGCTCAGGCCCTCGGGTCTTAAAGGCTGAACATTAGAGCCGGGCTGTGGTCTGGGGGTGGGAGCGCTGAATGAGAGAGGAGAGGGAGCCAGGGGAATTGGTGTTAGGGAGTACGAGCCCTCGATTTTCAGTCAGAGGGTAACATTTTAGGGCTGTGTATACTTTTCACATTGGGATTCCAGTGGGATAACTCTGCCTTCACATGGGTGGAGCTGGGATTGCAGCTGGCCCTGGCTGCCTCGCTGCTGGGCTCTAACCCCAGTTCCTACCCAGGGCACTTCTGGAAGCGGAGGAATTCATGCAGTCCTGTCCAAAGGCAACAAGACATGACCACTGGTGCTGCTCCACAGCCAGGCTGGAGCACAGGCCCTTGCCCTGCCGTGCTCCGGCGTTCCCTTGCTCCAGCACTTCTCACCTCGCTCCCTCCCCAGGCCCCGCACCGCTCGCTGGCTGACCTGGCCTCTGCCGACCAGACACCTCCGGTGTGTTGGGCATGGGGCAGAATTGCTGCTCCACAGCCCTTCCCCGGCACAGCCTGGAGGGTGAGCTCCTGGGCTCTGACCCACGCACACAGGGTCTCCTGCAACAGCAGCCTGGGGAGCCGGGAGGTCTCTTTTATCCCCAGCTGGGGAATGGGAGGGTGGGAGGGCTTGGCTGGAGCATGGTGCTCCCCTCAGCCTGGGACCAGTGTCAGTTCAGCCACAGCTTCAATGACTGTCCAAATATATGTTCACAGAGGGTGCCTGTCCTTGTGTCTCAGCTGTTCGGAGGAGAAGAAGCGAAACTTCGTCCCATCCCCAACCCGCAGCTCCTCGCTGAGGCCGTGCTCCCGCAGCGAGTCGTACACCAGCACGGGCAGGTCCTCCCCTGGCTCCAGCCGCTCCCGCTCCTCACACCGCAAGGCCTCTCCCAGGTACTCCCGAAGCAGGTCCTGCTCTTCGGGAAAGAGGTAAGGCTGGCTAAAATAGCTGTCTCTGACCCTGGGCAACGTCTGGCCCTTGCAGGCTGGCAGGCTCCTTGCAGGGGGAGGTGTAAGAGTTGGGGGGTGCCTAAGGATCCATGTGGCTTGGGGTGAACTGGCCACACAGAGCTGAGCTGAGACCCTGAAATATGGAGCATCTCTTCCCCCCCATAAGCCCAGATTCAGAGGAGTCTGGTCCAGCCTCACCCTCCAGCGTCTTTAACTCTTTTATGGTTCTTGCCTATGCCCAGGTCTTCTTCACGTTCCCCCAGCTATTCCTCCAAATCCTGCAAAAAAAGTCCTGGGAGCAGGAGTTCAAGGCCTCGTCGGAGCCCCAGTTACTCCCGCTACAGCCCTAGCAGGTACTGCCGTCTCCTCATGCGATATCTGCTGCCTCGTGCTTTCCCGCCGCCTCCATCACTTGTTCGCACTCCAGCACGCTTGCTGGCTCCTGCCAGCCCCAAACTGCTCCCTCAGCTTCCTCGCTGGGTGCTTTGGTCCTCAGCAGCGGGGTGAGAGGGAGCAGGGGGACACAGAGTAACGCATATGGCAGTATGTTATGGTGGCCACCAGTCCAGTGGAAATTTCTCACCATTTATTGCCCCAGAGCTGGTGCTGGTTGCAGAGGGAAGAGCCCAGAGATGAGCCTTTCACTTTCTGTGGGAAAAGCAGATTTCCTATAACCAAGGGCTGCCCTGCATTGATTCATGGGAATTTCACGCAAAGCACTTTCGGGGCTAGGTTGCTGGGAAGGAGACCTGGTTTATCCCTGGCTTTGAAGCATCGCGGTACCTCACACTCGGAGCGTGCAGCGGGTGAAGTGGCTGTTCCTCCACTCTGAGCCTTTGCGGGGGACACACTACGCAGCCGAGAGCGCACAGATGGCTGCTCGGTGGTGTTTGCCAGGGCCTCCCGCGAGTGGGAGATGCCTCATAGGAAAACCCGGGGAGTGCCCCTCTCTATCATGCTGGTGTAAACGGTGGGCAGAGCGTTAGGCTCCGGTCAGGTCTGCCCACAGCTTTTGTTGCCCAAGGAGCCCGCGCCAGGCTGCAGCCCTTGTCAGAGAAGGATCTTATTGTGATATTCTCTCCGCTTTTGAGAGTCGCGGCTCTGGGCCCTGGGAAGCGCCCCTGCTGCGCGGGCAGATGCCAGGTACCCCGGTGCTGGCACTCACACAGCCTTGCAGAGGGAAACACGGCCCGGCAACTCTACCTCCTCCACACCCCGTAGAAAACACACATCTCGAGCTCAGCCCTAGAGATGCCTTTGGGTAGGTTTTTCTGGTAACACCTCTGCTGCTGGGAACATTTTGCACCCTTAAAATGTTACATTCCCAGGGTCTGATTCTTGCAGGCTCTGCCAATCCCTGCACTGGTGTAGGAGAACGTTTCCCACGTGCAAGGATCAGGCCCTTGACCTGTAACGCGTCGCTTTGCAGATGGCATTGAGCGGGGCGTATGAAGTCAGCTACGCTCCGCGGAAGGGCCTGTGCTGACGTGTACGGGAATTTAACAAAAGAGAAAACCATAGCAACACGGGCACTCCTTCTGGCGAGCCGTGCAGAGCTGCACAGCCCTGCAGGGATACCGGGGGCCCTCTGCTCGTGTGGGGCCTGCTGGCAGAGTTGTTCTTGCCTGCTTCTGCAGCATGGCCAGCAACAGCAATTTTAGTAGAGCTAAATACAGACTGCATCCACAGACACAGGTACGTGGAAGCCATCTTAGCTTGGTAGCGCAGGGCCACCAGGAGACACTGCTGAAAGCCCCAGACACAATTAGCGGGTGTCCATCTGTCCAGCCAGATGAGTGTCTCTTTGTCCAGCTAAGTGAGTGTGCGCAGGGCTGATGCCACCAGAGCGCTTTGCTTAGAGTGGTCCCTTTTGCAGCTGAGTGTCCTCCGCTCATCTGTGCCTTCATGGGTCGCTGCCTCCACATCCAAAACCCACCCCTCAAAAACCCAGCAGTGACAGTTTCCAATCTTGCCTTCCCCAGAGACCGTGAGCGAGAACACAAGTATGGCTCCAGTGAGAAGGAGTCGCACAGGGAGCGTGATCGGCAGCGGCGGCGGCAGTCGTATTCACCCCTAAGGAAACGCAGGAGAGACTCTCCCAGCCACCTCGAAGCTCGGCGCATCACGAGGTAAGGGGATGCGGTCCCATCGCTTGGAGACAGGCTCAGCTGGCCCTCCCCAGGGGGATGTGGGTTGTCCTTGGGTCCCAGCCCTTGCCAGTGGAGGTTTCTCCAGGAGACTGGTTTCCCTGAGCCTGATCAGCAAGCCCTTCCACCCCTCCTAGAGCTTGGGGATTTCCAGCTAGGGGCAGAGGAAGGATGGGGGAGTCTCATTTACAATAGCTGAAGAAAAAAGGCAGATGAAGCCAGGGCAGGGACTCACCCATCAGGTGCCAGGAGCATCCCCTCACAGGCTTTTTGTTTCACCCTCTCCTGTGGTAGATGTCCCACACTGTAGAGAGAGTCAAGTATTGACTGTGACCTTCACGCTGAGGGCTCTTTGGGACAACATCAAGCAGAGCCCAGCCTCAGTCTTGGTGCTTGGGATATTCCCCAGGGCCTTGGGGATGGGTGCGTTGAATCCCAAGGCCTGTCAGCTACCTCATCTCTTCATTTTTTTTCTTTTAAACAAACACAGTCGCATTTCTGGGGAGTGTTGTGCAGAGTAAACAGTGCTTTTTGGAGATTTTGGCAGTAAATCCATCCTTGTGTTGCTGGTAACCCGCGTCTCTCTGTCCCCACAGTGCCCGCAAACGCCCCATCCCCTACTACCGTCCCAGTCCCTCTTCCTCCAGCAGCGCCAGCAGCTATTCCTCCTGGTACAGCAGCGTTAGCGCGTCCCCGGC